CAGCTAATGAGCTATTCAGAGAGCAAATGAGAAGCACCACAGAAGAACCCATGAGAAAACTGAATAGTTTTTCTCTTCAGAGCACTACTTGGATACTGAGCTGTGAAACAAGGTATTTTTGAAGAATAAGATCAAAGGATAAAACAAAGCGGCTGCTCATCTGAGACATGGAGAAGATAAAAAAACAAGTCTGGAAGAAATCTCAGAAGCTCATCAGTCTACATTCTTCCTAAGGCATGCTTTAGTTACTCTCAACTATTTTTTAAGTTTCTTTCCAGAGATCTCTACAGGACACATCCTCTAAACTATCTATTCTGGTGTTGCTTCTCCTCACATTAGTAAGCTTTTGTAACTGCCCTTTAAGTCATTATTCATCTAATTATTCATGTCTCCCTTCAGACTTCTCTAAGTCATCTAAAGGTTCAGAGGTTTTCTCCCCATATAGTCCTCATGTGTTTTGTTTCCTGGATCCACCACTGTCAATCATAGTATACAAAACTTTTTATAAAGGATCAAGCTCCATCTTTAAACTAGTAATTAATTTTGTCCTCATCATTCAAATTAAAAATCTTTTCCATAAACTGATGGCCTTGTCACTACCTTTTAGCTTACACATGAATACCTCCCTCTCAGTATTCACGTACTTGGTATTTCCACAGACTTCAGCCTGGTGTGCTAAACAATCCAACTTTTTAAGTCATCTCTTGTAAGACATCTCCCTCATCACTGTACAAGCCTTGCTCTCTGCACTCATCCTACATTCAATCAGTCCACAAGTCACTGTGCAGGTAACTAAAACTATGCAGTGTTCTAGACGATGTCTCAGAAATGCAGAAAACAGCCTTAACAGTTCAGCTGCTCTGAAAATATCTTTCCAGACATATCCCAGCTTAACTTTTGACTTTTTTATGGCTACATTGCACAATCCGTCTTATCTTTTCTCATAAATTAGGTATTTGCCTACAGAAGAAACTCTTGGCAGTGGTCCTAAACAAACACCATTGCACTTTGTATCACTCAATAAACTTACACTTCTATTTCTCTAATCTAAAAGGTCATCTAATTTGTGAATGACTTGATTCTTTCACTGATGCTTCCCAAATTTGTTTCATCAGAGGATTTGATCAGCATATGCTCACTCTTTTATGTCACCACTACTAATATTTTGAAAGTCAAGCCCAGGCCTGCCCTTTGAAGAACATTCCACTCATTCCTCTTTTAATTGTCACCTTTAATCAGACAGTTCCTTACCGAGTTTGTACTCCTGTAACAACCCAAACTTTATTTTGCTAAACTAATTAATTCCAGTGTGGCATGCATGGCAGAATTATGAAATCACTTTCCATGTTGACTTCTTGCATTCATAGAAACCATTTATATCCTATTGAAGAAAAGCCAAACAAAAAATCCCAGAAGCTCTACACACTGCAAATTTAAGAAAAGCTGTCCTAGGATGAGATGGTTTTCTCTCCTCAACTTTTTAACCTATTTATATTCCTTAAAATTTCGTCAGATCTGCCTCTAACTTTAAAAAAAAAAAAACCATACTCACTACAACTTCTCAATGACAGTTAGTGATATTTAAAGAATTATGATGAAAATACACAGGATATCAGTTTCTTGAGTTGTATTTATTGCCTGCCATGGTCATGGGAATTAAGCTTACTCTCAAATGCAAGAAAACTTTAAAAGCTTCATAAACAATGAATTCTACAAAAATAAATTATTTTAAAATATCAGGAATTTTAGGACTGATTTTATCATTACCAATGCATGTGGTTAATTATCTTTTAAATAACTCTAACACTGAACTACTTTATTATTTGAAAGTCTGCAAAACTCTACTTCTGCTACAAGAATTGTCAGGGATGAACACTGGTTGGGATCTCCTGGCCAAAGGAGTTTTTAAAAGTAGGAGTGAAGAAGAAATTCAGGCTATTCAATTTGCAGTTGACTTAGGAAATAATTCAATAGGCTAGAGTGTATCTTAGATAATCTAACTGGGTCATCTTTTGTTGTATTCAACAGCATTTTAATAAACCTCCTCAAGAATGTCTCATGTGAAAATATTTTTGTCTATAATAAACTTCACACAACCATCTGGAAAGGTCTTGTGGTTTCTTTAACTGGATGTATGTTTCTAACTATGTATTTTTACAAATGATATTGTAAACTTCTTAAATCATGTCTGGACTTTGTCTCTTGTTGACATTGTATTTGTAGTGAGGCAGAGCTTTCTGATGTGGCTGAGAGAAAGGAACAGAATTCTTGCATTTCACATACAGAAAGAGAACAAGCAGTCCAGGAACAACTTGATGGCTAGACATGGTTTTGCTCTCCGCCTCGGAAAGAGCATTGAATCAGTTCAAGAAATTAGCATCCTAACCACCAAACACCAGTAGAATGAAGACAGCATTCAAAGGCAGCATCTTATTTGGCTGGGTTTCTTCTCGTGCCACAAAGCCGTAACACAGAGAGAGAAACCTCCCATCATTCAGGGCATAGATCAATTTGCTAATGCATTCTTCTACCTGCAGTATATGAAAGCATCTAAGACACTTTAATGATGGATTGAAAAGAAGTAGATTGGGTGATGGCAGCCAGGCTAACTGGAGTCTAGTCAGAGCACAGCTGATGTGCAAAGCCAGAGATCACCAGTCAGGTTTCAGAACAGGTCCTGCTTCCTCCTCCACCTCCATGAGGAAGGTCAAATTCCTTTTCAGCTGTGAGAGAAGTTGCACGTACAGGGTCACCTATACTCTCAGCTCAACGTAAAACTTCATACAAGAGTAGAATAACTCTCCTCACAGCTCACAACTGACACCATTATTTCTACTTTGCCCCATCATACTGTTACTGAGATAACCTGCCTCCCAGTGGCACCCATGCTATGGTGCTCCTTTCACAGCTTGTTCTCCCATATTTCTTCTGGTCTCCTATTATGCCCTCTCCACATTTTCTTCACTGCTTTGATCTCAGTTCCCCTTCTCCTTTCTTCCCCATTCCCATGTGGAAAGCTATCAATGTTAAATAGTGAATAGTGCTCCAGTTGTGCTTGATAACCATTGGGAGTGTTTTCAGTTGGCTTCCCAATAAACAGCCCAAATGAGAGTAATGAAGATAATGGATAAATCCCTGCTGCACAGGCACAGCAAGACTCAAACAAGATAGTAACACATTTTGATTCACATCGAGTGTTTTCCTCACAAACCTATCAGCTAAAACATGTTGCTGTTCATAATTTCAGTTCTGCAGGTTTAAAATACATCCTGTGGGACAAACAAACGCATTGGAAGAACTAGAGCCAGCCTGCACAACTAGGTATCTTTAGTCCTTCTTAAGCAGCAGAAAAATAGGATTGGAATTCAGATCTGTGCACTAATCCCAGTTCAGCTTCTGTTGGATGCTCAGAATTTTCCACCTCCAGCTTTAAGAAAGCAAGATCAGATTTTCAGAGGTGCCAGATATTTAAGTGCCAGTGATGGCTATGGGAGCTGAGCGTCTTCAACATCTCATAAAACTAGACTGAGCAGGAGATATCCAAAAGTGATCAGCATGAATTAAAGAACAATTGTTTTATTTCCTTGATTGCTCCATGTGTCACAATCTCTGTATGTACAGCCCCACCGTCATTTTAGCATATACCATCATTCTCTGTCATTTCTTTCTCTGCCACCAGTTACTTTTTCTCCTACTATGACAGTGACCCCCACCTCTGTTTTCATTCACCACAAGCTGGAAGCTCTATATCCTGCCCATTTGTCTCTAAGCCAGGGCCTGCATTTTCTTTTAGTTCTGACCTTGAGGGCACTAAGTCCTCTGCTCATCTCACCATAGCATTTACCAATCTCAGAAGCTGGGATAGCAATGGTCTTCTATCACACTGGAACTAAGAACAGATTCACAGACAACAAAAAAAGCACATCGAGCTTCAGAAGTTTCTTCAAAGCACTAGTTTTTCCTATCATGCTTCCAGTCCCAAAATGCTGAGTTCCTCCCTTTCTATTTACTTACGACTACTTACAGATGCAACAGCACTGATACAGCAGTAATTTTTCGTCACTCATCAGTAATGAAAACAACTATCAAAACTCAGAAAGCCTCCCTCCAAAACCACAAGGGGACTAGGTAATGTGGAGCTCTAGACCACAAAGCTGAGCAGAGTGCTCAAACTCCACAGTGAGCTTCAGCTTGCACCAGCAGTGTTGAAAACCACCCTGTCTATAGCTGTGGCTACTGCACTGTATTCAGTGTACATTTGCCAGGCCAACAGCAAAGTAATGAATCACATAAGATATGAAGCATACAATTTTACCTAAGGAGAAAGAAAATTGCATACTAATCAAGAGTAAACAATAAATCAAGAAGATACTGATTCCAGTGTGTGTGTGTGTATGCATGCTCTATTTCTGGGGACCCGGGGGGAATACACATTATTCATTAAAACAAATGAATGCAAGAGTTTAGCCAGATCATGCTCTGTTCCCCAACACAGTTTCAGCCAAGTCCAGAACTCCAACTGGTCTGATTAAGTCAGGGTAAGAGATTCTGCAACCCCTACTCATAGACAAAAAGACTTCAAGCAACCAAAACACAAAGCCCTACAAGTAAATACCATGAGCCCTACCTCAGATTTATTGTGCTCACCTGTCCACATTATCAACAGAGTAAAATTACTAACAGAGTACAGGTCTGCCACAGATCCATTAGACAATGCCTGTTCATTCAAGATATCATTTAAAAGTTAGATCTTATATATGGCATGACATGCAAAACTACGTGCTTCAATCTCAGCTAGTTATTTCTTTCAATTTACTCTAATTTCTGCTAAAGCAGTCACTTGGGGTCAACAGGATTTTGGGGAGGAAAAAAAAAAGAAAAAAAAAGCTATTCTCTTATAGGGAATAGCCAGAAGACCAAGTAAGAAAAGTGACTGTTTATAGGATATACAACAGATGCACTCACACACTTTCAGTGTATCACCACACAAAAATACTCACAATAAATCCAAGTTTTTTATAGTCTCGAGTATACATAGATTTCCGCTTCTCAATACTTCCACTGCTGTTGTTAGGTTCAGATTCTGCATCAAATGCAATTCTTCGGAGTTCAAATATGATATCCCGTTGAGCCTATGTTAAAACAAGGTTTTTAAAAATGGTTAAAATAACTTACATCTCACTTAAATAACCAATACCACAAAGCTGATTCAAAGTACTGAATTCCCTCTGCTGCCCAACCTTTCTATGTCTAAATTCCCTAATTCTTACTCAGAGTGACAGTCAGCAAGAATGACTTTGCGGCTCCCGTTTTCCAAAGTCCTCACATTTGTGGGGTTCGCATGCAGCCACTTAAATGCTGACTTCCAGCAGCTGGAGCCATGTTAGCAAGGCCACTAATGACACACTTAATTTTAACCACAGGCATGAAACCACAGAAGAGATCACACATATTTCAAATCAACCTGGTACTTGAGCACTTTGTTGGCCGAAACCAAAACGGCTCAGCACCCTGCATTCCTTTTGGTAACTGTCCATTTCTGGTAGCACAGGAATGGGCAAGAGAGGAATCACTGCAACTACACATCACTAGAAACATCTCAAGACAGCGATAACTCCCATGTCATCAATACTAACAACAATGTGTTAGTCACTGTCTATGGAGATATGCACTAGATAAGTGCATTTACATTAGTGCAAGTCAAACTTTCCTGTCTCAATCTTAAGAAACATGCAGGGTAAAACCCTACAGCAGGATGTTACTTCTGTTTACAGCCATCTCGCTCTCCCATCTCCTCTTCCCCAAATTATCAGCAATTCTTAACACAACTCCCTCTTAAAAAATGAAATCAGGTTCCTCCTTGTAAAAGTCCTAAAGAAAAAAAGGGCCATGAAAATAAAGAAACAAAGCACATCTTCTCTATGGCTCATTGATTCTATATTTAAACACTCTCTCTTACGAGAGTGTTTCTTGTTGCAAAATTAACAATATTAAAGCTAGTGTTTGGACACAGAGAGCAATAAACAAATAAACAACTACTATATAGACTCCCAGTAACAAAAATGGGTATTATTGTAACACCAATTAACTTCATACATATCTTTTGCTTCTTAAAAGTACACAAAAGAAACAAATGCTTCACTGCTACTCAGAGTTTTGGCTCAGGATGACACCAAATTCAGTTCATGGAACTACATGCCAAGGAGGAAAAAGGCCTGGCTGTGCTGTTGTGCTTTTGCACAAGGAATGCAATAGCCAGCTGATCTTCTAAGAACCAGAAAACATAATCCAACTTCACAGATAAAGAGAGAGAATGAATGAATGGAGAAAGCGTTCCTAGCAGTGTCTTTTCCTCCATAAAGAGCTTTAGGCACAGCCATGAGCAGTTGCTCTCTTACTGCTGTGACAAGATCAAGCCAGATGCTTACCTGATCCTGTGGATCCATTTTTGTCATCATTCTGTCTTCCAGAAGGTTAAAGGTAAGTACTTGCAGAACATAAAGCTGGTGTGCCATTTCATTATTGATGGCCCTCTGTGCCCTGATCACATGCTGCAAAGAAAAAGAGACACCAGTGAATGCTATCTTGTCAGAAAACTACATTAGGTGAACTCAGGTGTTTCCATTTCTGTAAGTATGTTTGCTATGCAATAGTGGATGTATACTCCAGAATAAAAGAAAAATCAAACCAGGACTAATGGTCCTGATTTAGGTACTACATAAGTAACTTCAAGGGACAGGACTTTACAACAGCGATGCATTGAAGCTTTCTCCTTCTAGCCACTAGATAGAGCCTGTGAATACGTTCAGAAGTGGCATTAAAAAAAAATATTCAGGCTGCAAACACAACCAGCAAATGCAGGGATGTAACAGGGCAACTGCTGTCAGCATCACACCACAATCCTACCTGTGCCAGACAACTCCATTCTGTATGAGAAAGACTGCTTAGAAATATATTACTATATATACATACAGAATTACCCCATTCAGAAAGCACATGCTGAACTGATGGACAATTTAAAGATCTCTGCTGTGCCAAAAAACACCAGCTGGGGAACTAAACACAGCAGAGCATACATAGGAAAGAGTCATCAAGTAGTAGATGGATACAGCAACTGATATTGTACAGCTCCAGAGAACAAAAGAGTCTCTCTGTCAAAAGGCACCATAATCATATGCTTACACCAGATTTTTTATGAACACAAGCAGTGTAACAATGTGCTTTCTGAAACAAATTCTGGTTTTCTGTATGCATCACTGAAATTATGACAGCGAGTGAGAAAGAGGGAGGGGTTTTTTGGTTGTTGTTTGGTTTGGTTTACACTGCCTAGTATCTCGTAACAGAGAAAGAGCACTTTCCTCCCCACCCCTTGAAGATGTAATCTATGCTAAGGTCAAAGGAAAAATCCCTTTGTTTTTCCGTGACATGTGAATAATATATATTACATTCATTATTCACTCTGAGCTACATTTCATGCTTCTTTTGTGCAAAAGTGACAAATTGTTTGCAACTTTATATCAAGACAGAATAATTTGTAGAACTGAAAAACACAGAGGTTCATTTTGCTTGCTGTACTGCTTGCTCAGCTGTCATCAGCTCCAAACTTTAATACAGAGAAATTGCTATGAATTCCAAAGACAACCCCTCATCTGCACAATAAACTTCATATTGTCCCTGTGAAGAAAATACATTACTGTATTTTCATGAAGAAACCACAATTTACTTGGCTGGGAAAATACCCTTTCTGATAATCAGTTTTGAATCCATTCAAGAATCGGACCAATGTTACAGGCTTCAAAACATAACAAAATAAAAGTGCAATTAAAATATATTAATATAAAACCTAGTTTTGATGTTCATAGAGTAATCTTTTCTCTCTGCTACTGAAAAATAAATTTGAAAATTACATACTTACAGTTAAGATGATGGAGCGAAGCTGCTTTTGTGCCAAAATGTTTGCCATTTCCTGGTTTAGTTAAAAAAATATGTATTAGCCAGAAAGATATTTAAGTGCCATACCTAGAAGAACACTGACTTAAAAGGTCTTTATCTTAAGTTTCTGCAGTTTTACTTATAAATTAAATGAAGCTGCGTATCAGTAATTCGACTATATGCATTATTTTGGGGGTCACAAAATCATATTACTCTACTATGAGAAAAGTGGCAAAGAAAGTGAAAAGTAAGTCACAAGCTGAGGGCTTTGGTGCTCCAAAACCAGCGATGAAAGACCTCAGAAGAGACTTATGTGGGTAAACAGAGTATTTACACACACTTGTTCAAGCATAACCTTCCCCCTGCAAACAACACAGAAGACAGCATGGAATGGAAGCCAGCCAGGACTTTAAAGCCAGATGTCAAATGACATGCTTATTTACATTAATATTTTGGCTGTTTTGAAGTCAAGTGCTCTAACTTTCACACAGCAAGTCAGCCTACAACTCGGTACTGTTTCATCATAGCAAATAATACTTCTCTCCTGCATTTTGGTAGAAATGTTGACATTGGTTCACTATTTTGTCTTAAATTAACTTCTCCTCCTATACCTGTCTGAAGTCCCTACCAAGGCAAACATGCTTTTCCTTTCATTCTTAAGCAGCTGATACTGGCAGTCCAGGCTGCCAACTGTCCTACAATGCATAGGAGGAAATATCTTATATTTATTAAGCATGAGAGTCTAATCATAACCAAACCTACAAGTGCATATCACATTTTTAATTTCCATGATCTTTCACATCATTATAGAAATGTCTGTGTGTGTTTGTGGATATACGCTAGCCTATGCAATGGATATGACTTATATTATTATCATGCAATTTTAAATTCTTGTTTTCAAAAGGTACTATTTATAAGGATTTGGATAACATCTTGCACACTACTATTTAGATACTGTTTATATGTACACAAAGGGGTAATGTTTGGAATTAGCACATCATTGATAGAGCTCACGTTTCACAGCCTTACATAACAGAGTGCAACAAATCACATCAATGCTGACACTTGCTTAAGGACATTCTTAGGATGCAGTGTGACTCCGTGAAGTTGGCACCACATCAAAAATATTGTTCACGTTCAGGAGAAACAAATTCTCAAAAAATCCTGCCATCTTTGTGAGAGCTGAAGAGTAAATATATATATATCTTTTAAGCCTTTTCTGGCTAAGCAGGTTTCAATTTCACGTAGCAGCCAAGGAATGAATGAATTACACAGATGCTTCCATCTCTCCTGGAAACACACAGCTGAGCTGCAGGGGGAGTGCCAGGCACATGATACACTTCATGTTACCGAACAGACTGGCTGGTTTTGTCAAAGTATATCCACTGCCAAAAGATGGACAGGTAAAGTATATGAGGTAGTCTTTTCTGTATTCAAGGAAAAAAAAAAAAAAAAAAAAAAAAAGCTCTTTTATCTTACTTTTCAGAGAGGATTATCAAATTGTCTCTTCTTTCTTACACCTTTAATTTAAAAAGTCGTTACTGGGATACTTTTTTTTTGTCACTGGAGCAAAAACTGAGAGGAGCAACAAGCATTCACAAAACCGATTACTGCAACAAAATCAATTTGGTCTCCAAGGCGGCTATATGACTATTAGCTGATGGTGAGCTGCCTCTTCTAAAATAAGTACTGTAGTAACAGATGAGAACAAGAATTACTTGACAAAATTTGTCATCTCATTTCCCACAGCAACACATCTCTGCAAAAATGCAGACAGTTCCCAAAAAAAGTGTTTCAAACATTCACAGTATCATTTCAATGCTCAAATTCCCAGTTCTTTTCTGATACACTTTTTTTTTTAATATAACCTAGGTTTCTGTAGGTAATTTGTTCCTTGATGGTGGCAAAGGAAGCAAAGCAACCAGTGAGTCCTCATTAAACAAAAGAAAAACCTTGAACCTCTTGACTTTTTGCATCACAGAAATAGGAAGGATTTAAAAAATAATTTTAAAAAAGATAAAAACAAAGGAGGGGAAGCAATTCAGATACTAGCACCAATTTAAATCCTTTCCTTAATTGCAGTGAAGTCATCCATATCACTCCGGTCCCTGTAAGACGGTAGCAGAGAGGGTGCCAGAGCTCCTGGAGTCATACAGAGTTTGGTGCAGTTTCTCACTCCTAACTATTAGTGGTAAGTGCTGGATCTTAACTTTGGTGTAGCCACTGCCAGATAATTATAGGAGTCTGCATCTCCTCAGTTTGTTTTGTCTTAAAAAGGCAGAATTCAATAAACTGTATCAGTTATCCCTGTCTTGAAGCCAATGGACACTTACATTCTTCAATATATGGTTTGCTAATTAATCACAATATAGATATAAAGAGAAATAATCTGACTACTTATTATAGGTTATTGAAGGTTGAAGGAATTCTTCTGCAAATGTCATGGTTATTAGCCTTCAAGCCAAATCAAGTCATTATGATCTAATGATCATAAACCCCAAGACTAACAATTTTGTGTCACAGCAGCAGGTACTACAGGTGAAGTGAAGTCTGGTCATGGTCCACTGACAGTCTCACTAGATGGTCACACTGTTGGTAAAATACAGTTTTACCTGCTGAGACTACCCTGTGGTCACACACAGAATCACATACAGAATCACTCGGTTGGAAAAGACCTCTGAGATCATCATGTCCAACCGTTCCTGTCTACCCACTAAACCATATCCTTAAGTACCTCATCTACCCGATTTTTAAATGCATCCAGGGATGGTGACTGCACCACCTCTCTGGGCAGCCTGTTCCAGCCTCTGACAACCCTCTCAGTAAAGAACTTCCTCCTTATCTCTAACCTGAATCTCCCTTGGCACAGCTTGGTGCCATTTCCCCTTGTTCTATCCTCCATCACCTGGGAGAAGATACCAGCACCCACCTCTCTACAACCTCCTTTAGCTAGTTGCAGGTGGTGATGAGGTCTCCCCTCAGCCTTCTCTTCTCCAGGCTAAACAACCCCAGTTCCCTCAGCCGCTCCTCATAAGGCTTGTTCTCCAGACCCCTCACCATCCTTGTGGCTCTTCTCTGAACACGCTCCAGAATCTCAACATCCTTCTTATAGTGAGGAGCCCAGAACTGAACACAGTACTCGAGGTGTGGCCTCACCAGTGCCAAGTACAGTCATCTTGGTCCTACAGTCATCCTCAGGAACACATGCCCACTGATTACTATTAAGGTCTTCTCTACATTTGACATTATCTCTCAACTTCAAAAAAACTGAAGCATACTTTTCACAAAACCTAAAGCAGCATTAACTATTTACAGATGTAAAAGATGAATTAATTTGCTTTTCTTACAAGGACCTATCATAGATTTAGGTCAAAACTGAAGGTAAGTTTTTATTCCCATTTTTGAACATTAGGTGTCTTCTTCACTTAACTGAAGAAGAAAAAAAGGAACGGGGGGGAAACACTATATTGAAATTGAACCATGGTTTTACTTTCCGTGTTTGTAATTTTAAAAATATTTCTGAAGCAAAAGAGAAAAATTACCCATGAGGACTTTGATGTTTGTTTAAACAATATCCAGCATTTTAAAATGTAAATAAGTCTAAAGAAAGTCCCTGCTAGACCTGCTCAGCAGCTCTCAGTGAACTTTTTCTGGACAATAACAGTATGTCACCGCAAGGTTTACCATCACTGTTGCTGGTGACAGAAATGTTAAATAAATAAATGACTAAATCCATTTTGACACAGGCTAATGACTTGATAAACACGGACAAAACATTTCTATTTCATAATACATCACATTCCACCCTCATTTAACAGCAACTAGCAATCTTGATATATTTCCTTTTGAGACTTCTGATTGCTGACACTAAAATTAACTTAAAACAGTATACTACAAAAGTCATGAAATACTTGCATGGCAAGATATTTCTGTTTTCAAAAGGAATGCAATTTTTATTAAAAAACCGGAGGCAGAAGAGTTTACCAAAAAAGAGCCTGGTTTTACAAGCTATGCTGGCAAAGAATTCAGTACAATAAATACTACAGCCTGCCACAGTCAATATGGTTCATGTGAGGTTACAGGGAACTAAAAAAGCATAGAAGAACGCTTAATCTCTACTAATATTAGTGCAAGATGGAGGTAGCACCATTAAAATAAATGGCATACCAGCATGAAACAACAGAACAAGTTTCAGTTTGAATTAACTGCAGGAAAAGTGTGACTGGGACAACTGCAGGCATGACTGTGACACACTTTTCCTACAGATATTTAGATATACAGGACCAGACAACTTACCTGCCTCTTGTCATCCGGTGCTTTCAGGAAAAGCGCATTTATTACTGCAATGGTGTATGTCTGGATTTCTTGGTCTGTCCTGTTTGGAACAAAATTATAAACACAACAGAAGAACATGAATACAAACGAGCTGTAGAAATTCATCTTCCACTTGCTTTGCTGCAGGGAAAAGTGCAGGGACTGACTGCACTTAATGCTAACCAGGTAAAAGTTAGGTAATCAAAGTTGGTCATGACCAGTTTGTCTCTGTTATTAAGAGACAAGATGTTCCAGAGAGAGACTCAGCGTTCAAGAAAGGTGGAATGAATCACACCCTCGAAATGCTATTGACCCTCCACTGATCATGCAGGAGCCCACAGTTGGCTTCTGCCAGATGCCCAACAGCTAGAGAGAGGAAGGGGAATCTACCCTGAAGGGTTCTGGAGATGAACCTGATGGGACTAAAAGCTTTTCAGGTGAGTGGAAAATGTCAGAGCTGGGAGGCAAGCATAACTATGGTTCACAATACATTACCCTATGCTACAAGAGGCAGTTTCCATCCATTGAACCACTACACATTACTGTTTAAGAAAAAGTCTCTCCCTTTTCAGATATATTTTCAGCAAAAGTTGATCAATTTTTGTCTTACACACTTCCCAGAGGCTGGCAAGCAAAACAACCCCATCTGTATGATAATGGTGCTAAGCATTTTATTACTATAGGGTTCTCTTAATTCCCCATTTCCAACTACACAGACAGATTAGCATGAAAAAAAAATAAAAGAAAAGAAAATCAGGGATCAAAAAACTCCAGAAAGATGGTTACCAGTCATCCATCCACTTATAGTGGGTACAGGAGTAATACAGGAGGTTGCCAGTCTTTATGCCACTCTTTTCAAATGCTGTGCTCCCTTAGGGGAAAAAAAAACAACAACAAACCAAACCAAACAAAAGCCCCACACAAAAATAAAACAAAAGACCAACCCAACAACCACTGTATGTGGTGGCAATTGAAGACACTCACCCCTGCAGATGTGGGATTAGCTGCCCAATTGTGATTTCCTGTGCCACCTTCTGGTACAGGTCATGGCTATTGAGCACCATCGATTCCAGGATTGCAAGTGACCGTTGCAAGATAGAGATGTCCGAGGCAAATTTGTTCACATAGCTTGCTATCTACAAATTCAAACATTTAGAGAATTTACATCTTGTCAGATGAAGGGAAGAGAAGGGAAAGAAAGAAGGAAAGAAAGAAAACCATGGATGTGGTTTGGAAAGGCATTAGAATAAAAGTCCACATGCCAGGTATCAGTGAATACCTGAAAGCAATCAACCAGGCACTGCAGATACCTTCAGAGGACACAGTGGCTCAGATTCTTCAGCTAGCATGAGTCACCACAGACTTATGTCAATATTCATGCCACTGAAATGTATGTTTCAGCATTACATTATAGACAGGATAAATCAACATTAAAGAACTAGAATTATTATCATTTTTTGTGAGGAAAACTTTGGAAAGTACAATAAGAATACTCCTCATTCTCTCCAGTAGAAATCTGTGCAGCCAGTTTTATCTAAACAAATATCTAGGCTGAAAGCAACTGTTTCAGAAGAGAAAATTACACCTAGCTCTCTAGCAAAATAGGCTATTTTTTTCTTTTGCCTTACTGTTACTAACAACACTGAAAGCTCTCTCCAGGTTACAAATTAAAACTCTGTTGATGACCATTTATCGGCATAACTGGTTCCATAACTCTGTCTGGAATCCAGTCTTGCTAAGTGTTCATGCATTAATAACCTTCACTTTTACTGCAAGCTGACACAAACAAACGGCACGTTAATCAAAACCAGGTCTGACCTCACTCCTTTGCAGTGGGGCAATAACACGCTGCACACTCACATCTGCAGAGCCAGCACAGCTGTGCACTGAGATGTGGCAATGCACATTCTTCCACATGCTGCTCAGTCCACAGACTTGTCTTCCCAGAAATAAGCTTTCCTTCTGCTGATGCAGTAAGCAAGAACGGCCTGGGTTTTCCTTGAACACACTGATAACAGCACAGTCAAGCTGAAAGGTACCCGAGGAAGCACAGACAGACAGAAGAAATGCCGTGTGACCACAATTATTTGCTCTTTACAGCCAAGTAGCAGCCTACAGTGGCTCTGTTTCAAGACTGATGCGCTCCTTCCAGAAAACTTGAAGTCCATGTGCTTCTTCAGTACTCAAGCTACAAGCCACTAATGTGGTTATATTGTTTCTGATTCTGGATGCTTTGGCATTATTTCCCTTTTGGAGAAAGAAAGGCATGCCCTATTCTTGGAAAAGCTACCTAACTCCCTGCAAAATTCCCAGTTAAATACTGACATGTGAAAAGCAGCATTGTTTTGCCCTTGGGACATTCTGAGTAGCGCTGAAGGTGTAAAACACCTTTTCTGCAACTTTGATTGGAGATGACAGATTTTTCTTCTAATCTATTGCAGTGCTGCTGCTTGCTCCTTGGTTTGCATTACTATGACAAGTACATGCTGTGCTGAATATAACTCAATCCAGGAAATACACACTGACTTTACAGAAAATAAAAACCAATCCATGCATGCATAGAGAATAGCAGGAGAGAAGCAACTCAATTAGCCTCTTTGTCTGTGCTTTGAATATCTGCTGCCTGCAACTCCTGACCTCAGATTATATATATATAATATATATATATATATATATAATGCACATTGTGCTATTTAGAGTAATAAGCTGTATCTCAGAAGCGCTGTCCTACCCTACCTCTCTTAATGATAACCCAGTTGTTTTCCGATGCATTGCAGCCAGAGCTGCAGGATGCCCAGGAGGCCTACAATACGGACAGTGTATGCACAAAGCAACTCTGCACTGCTCACACAATAACCCAAATGTGCTCTGGATCTCTCACAGGCATCAGGCATCCATGGACCAATTGTGCAGGAGGAATACAATACGTCCAGGCTGTGTCCAACTTGTCAGACTGCTGTCACCATCCTCTTTAGAAGCCCTAATATGTATGAATTATTCTTGGTGCAGCAGCTCCTTCCCATAATATTTCAAGTGTCAGCGTAAATGCTTCCCTGGGAGAGAACATATTCACTTCAGGGGCCTGTAGAAATGTAACAGTACAGAAAACTGAAACCTCAGCCTAAAACAGGCTGCCTTAGACAATTACTCTTCTGATCATGGACCGTAACTACATTTAACCATAAACACAAACCCAAGGTATGAAGCTTGTGTGTTTAAAAAGCTCTGACATACCACTCAGAACATACATGCAAAACATCTGCTATGTATATTCATGACCACTTTGCTGAAGCATGAAGTCTGGCCAAAAATAACAGGCTAGTCTATCCTGATAAATAAGGCATGCTAGTTCCAGAGGCAGCAGAATTAGATTAAAAAGAAATTCTATTACCATACTTGAAGTTCTGAATGTGGAAAAAAAAATACCCTTCTTGAAAAGGGACAAGTATCAATCAACAAGAGTTCAAATCTGTGTTATCTGCTGTTGTCCGCTTACTGAGCACCACATGCAGGGAGGGTTTTCAACATCTAAAACTAATCCTGCACCCATTTATCAAAAATTCTAATGATAAAAACAATTCAAGCTCATAGAAACACAACCTCTCCTCCAGAAATAAGCAACTTCATTTCTTTGCAACTCCACAGGAAAACCTTTTACATGGGTGCATTGCATTAAGGATAAAACTATTAGTTCAGCAAAACACTTGTAAACCTTAATATCTGCATAGCCCCATTGGGACATATATAGCCACATACAAAAGAAGTGGCTGGGTGCTTAAATTCCAGTCGATTTCAAGGGAAATTAGGAATCAGAATGCCTTTATGTATTCAGTCTCAGTGCTCTGGTGAAACAGGAGCTAACCATGTAAAGCAAGGGTAGATAAGAAACATACGGCAAACTAAACAACATCATCTCAGTTCTCTTCCTGTTTCAAAAGCACTTAAAGCACAGGAGAGAATTCAAAAACTGAAACTCAGAAGAAATAAAAAAAGCCACAAACAAAATAAAAAAAAAAATCACACAGGGAAAGAACAGCGCAGAAAACAGATACGATTTTCTGAGCAGTGGTGTGTTCATTTGTCATTTGCCTGGACCATTTTGATGTCAGAAATGTAAAGAAAAATTTTACAAAAGTTTTGTTCTCTGTCATCTCCTATTGCATAGGAAAATTTTCAATTGTGCATCTAATTTTAAGTAATGAACTAGAGTTGCACTCAACTACAGAAAAAAGAACTGACAGTTGTGAGACACAGAGATATCTTCTCCGCTGCCACTCCCTTTTCCTGCACAGTACTTTTTAGAAGGCAGAGTAAACAATTCCTCAAGGTTAAGGCTCTGCATCACACAGTTATGAAACAGTAATTATACAAGTAATTCTAAGATCTATTTTTAACTATCTCAACCAGCACTACGAACTTTATTTCTCCTCTTGCAGGAACTAAAGATAGGGGGACCAAATTTGTAGACTGTATTTTGATACCCAGTTACCATGACATTTTCTAAGAACTGGGCATCCAAATCCTTTAGGCAACTATGGGAGCTAAAAATAAACTCTATTGTCATGAGCAAGAAAAAGGACTTGAGAGAATCTTACATATTATACAGAAGTTTTTTTAGATTATCCTATTTTCCCTTAAGATAACAAAGCTCTCCTTGAAAGTGTCAATTCATATTTGCAGCAGTTGGAACAGCAGTCTTTATGTACCCAAAGGATGGGAGGGAGACTGCATCCACCACCAAGCAGTTAGTCAGGAGCAGCAGTTAGAGGTTCCCCTTGAGGTCTCCTCCAGCTTCAGAATTTTAAGTTAGACAACTATCCAAGAAAAAAGTTCAGATTAATTCACTTTGGCTTCCAATTAACATTAAAGGGCAGAAGCACTTGAAGGATTGCGAAGTTCCCTGTCAGCTATCAGAAACTTATCAGCTCCCTCTTCCATCCTGCCAACCACTTGAGCCAGCCCATGAGCAACCTCAAGTGGGCTGTCAAAAGCCAAGGTCAGAGAAACAAATGAGAATTAAGCATCAGATTGCTGCCAGAGAGGCAAGGTCCAAAGGGGCTCCTTTAGGTTTGCCCCGTGCCCAGAGAGCCCCACTGAGGGCTCTGCTGTTCTGGCTCCCAATTGCATGGCAGGTCAGGGCACATCTGTGACTCTTTCCAATATGGTTCTTCTTATTGATCCCCTTCTTATCCACCAGTTTCACTCTTGGTTTTTACTTTCCAGTTTTGATTTGTAGAGGTACTTTATGAGAATGTTTTGGGGTTGGTTTTGTTGGTTGTTTTTTTTTTTTGGGGTGGGGGGGGGTGTTGTTTTTTTTTTAAATTGGGTCACTGTCCAGGGAAACCTATGGAAGTAACAGACAGAAGAGATGAGCCATTAACAGGGATGCACACAACCTTTCTTCTGTAGTTACCATACAACCCACAGGGCCTAAGATGTTGATAGGGCTGGACAATGACAATAATTCTGAGTGACTAACAAAGTAAATTGATTTAAACTTGTTTTAGCAAGTTTCTTCATACACTTCTCAGTAGGCTCTCCCAGCAAATAAGGTTTTCTGGGCTTGACCTCGTGACTCACGAAGTCAGTTAAAAACAGGTGTATTATTTTCTTTGTCATAAAGATAATAATAATCATGATCATAATCTAGCTAGCCTGCAAGATTAGCAAAAAAAGAAGAGCCCAAAAAGCAGACCAATTATACTAATTTTTCTGACAAATTGCATCCATCGTTTTTAATAACTGAAACAGTTTCAAAATCTAATACTCTTTTCATGATTGTTTCTTCTTTCACTTTTGGCAACAAAGTAAAATTCCTTTGGTGGCAGCAATGCTCTAAACCAAATTTAAATTAGAAGTCTGTGCTCTGACACATTTTGTTAGAACAAAGAGATCTTTGCCAGGGGTTATATTAGTTCCATTACTGCTCCTGCTATCATTTTAGTGAAGCAACTCTGACATCTCTCAAACTTGTACAAGTGCACTTTTACATAAGCTCAATCTGGTTTTAAAATACATTGTAAAGAGGTGTGGGCTCTTTCCACACAGTAAATAAAAATGGTTAAATCAGTAACAAATAGTTTTTTCTGAAGTCCGTTAAATCTCTGCACTCCCGTGCTTCTGCTGCTTTTGTGTACCTCCTACATGCAAGAAAAGAAGAAATGTTGTAGTTCATGGAAAGATGTGTTTCAAAACCACAGACCTCAGCTGCACGATTCAGGAGGCCAGAGTTCAAGTGGATAAACTTAGTAGATATCAGCTTAATTCCAATTTGTAAACTAACTCTTCCTCCCATAACCCCAGCAGAAACATTTCAGTACTGGTTTTGTTTGAAGAAATATGGTATTACTCATTTTAATTTTCATTATACCAAAACAGTAATTTTTGCTTTAACTAAGCGATTAACTACACAAGGAGGTCACGCTGCAATTGAGCAAGCAATTTCTTGCATAACAAGCCTAAAACAGTGTTGATCCCATTTCCCTCCCATTGATTTCAGTAGAAATTGGGTCAGATCCTGCAGCTACAAGTATTTATAATTTGAAATAGCACTTTAATCCCATTTTCACGTACCTTTTTTGACCAATGACCTAAATTAATGTATCTAGAAAAGAATGCCCACAACTCACCTCAAAAATTTTAAAATGTCGACGCAAACCAATATAAAACACATAGCACTGATTACAAATTTACCTTTTTAATGAACGCCACAGAGAATGTATCCCACGATACAATCCCATGATCCATCAGCTCAACAAATGCAGTCAGTGTAAAGGACAACATATCTCCAAAGCTGCAAGAGACAGGAGTCATGACAACATTTACCAGTAATGCAGCAGGGCAATCACCGAGGGCATAAAGCAGCAGGAAGCTTTCAGAAAGGCAGGAAAATGAAGCCAATTATGGACTAAGAGGTAGCAGAGGAGCAAGAGAGGCCGTGCAACAAATAGACTCCAAAACAATTTAGCATAGACATCAAGAATAGTCACCTGCAAGAAAGCAATTGTGTAAGAGAAGAACTAACACCCAGGAGAATACCACATGCAATGTTCAAGGAAATCAGATAGTCCAAATTAAAGTTGTCTTTTAAATTCAGAGCTTTACATCTAACAGAAGAAAAGAAGCTAGCTGCTTCTTAGCAGCTTAGGGAGGTGCCACATTTTGGTACCCTCTGCATCAAGCAGACTAGGGGAAAGTGAGTGGATTGTTTGTTCCTTTTCTTACAAGGAAGCTAAGGTATCTTAAAAATGCACCAGAAGAGATTTTCAACTGAGCAGCAATTTCCAATAGTTAACACCTCAATTTCTTTCTTTGAACCTGAAGATTTAGCTCCTTTTGTTATCAACCATGTCAAGCAAATTGCCAAGTTCCCATAGTTTATCCAAGCATGCAGCTCAAATTGTTTAGGGTTTGCAGGCCACTACACTGCATTTTACACCTGTAAATTTACACTAGTAAATTTGAGATTCAATACATCTTTGTATTAACTCAAGTAAAATGAAACAGGTTTAAACTCAACATAAAGAATGTGCTCTAACCTGACCAGCTGCATAGGCATTTTCCATGTTAAAAATCAGCTTGTAAAGATTAGCTTCATTGCTATATATAGTCAGGGCAGCAGTCAGTAGCCATAATGATTTCAATGAAGCCATTCAGCGAGGTAACTACTCCATATAGGCAGCAGTGCAGAGAGCCTGAAACGAAGCAGCGTTATTACTTTTAAGCGCATGCCAAACCGCCTGCAAGGTGCTCTGCCACTAAGCCATTAGCAAGCATAAGCACACAATCAATCTAAACAGCGTGAGCAGTCCCACTGATTTTAATGCAACAGCTTACCTAATAAAAAGATAAGATTAAAAAAACCCAACTCTGTCATGTTGGAATTACAATGCTCAGTATGCAGAAAATCTGAGTCTAATGTTATAGCCACAGTGAAGCTATGTAATTGGTAATTCCTGTTGTGTGATTTGCTCCCCTACTATCCCACTATCACAGTTAAGTGAACATCCCTTCAGATGGAAGACATGTACCACCGTACAGAGGAATAAGGCACAAAATCACTTTCAATGTGCAGCTCCAATAGTAAGTTTACTGTGTTTGATAGAGTCTGCCATTTAAGGATTTCTGATTGGTGAGACACAGCCTTTAGTGGCCCCGTCATTTAAGATAGGAGCTCCTGTTCATCAAAACTCCACAGGTGCCCTTCACTAAAAAGGAATTTGTCATTCTTGAAATTTTGTAAGTAAACCCAAAAAAAACCCCAACGCAGACCTTCCTCTTCCACAGTAAGGGTGTTCACTGTAGCTTTAATTATTTATGAAAAAAATGAAAAAGCTACACCAAAGAGCAAACATGAAAAATACAGTGTCTTAAAAATCCACTGTAATTTTGCAAGGAATATTTTGTTCAGCAAATACACGCTCTGGAAGTTTTTTATTTTATTTTGGGGGGCAGGGAGATTGAGTTTTGTTTGCTTGCTTTTTAATACTGCAACTCTTAAGAATTAAATTAGATTTAAGATGTCATCATTAGCATTCCAAATAACCAAGGATTTCATAACAAGACAACAATAAAACTCTGCAGGAAATTTAATCAGCTCCAGTCCTTTTTCTTTCCTAATCCATTCCTTCTGCATGAAATGGTTATTTGTGAATCCAAAAATAAAACGGCACCCCAAGGAAAGGCTTCCTTCTAAAAACTTTAACTAAATTCTCATGCATCATCATGACAGAACACTTCCACAAATATATGAAATTCTGGTATTTTTAAGAAGCTAGACTAAATTAGATCCAAATAAAAAAAAAATTACAAAAAGACAGGCCATATAGGTAGAAAAGTAGATTAAAGTATTTCTCCCAGCATTAAATTCAACAATTTATCTCCCCTAGACTTTCTCATATATTGTTTAAAAATTTAGTCAATTAACTTGTATTTAGTACACAAATATTCCTCTATAAACTAATTGTACATGAAAGCTAACCCCCATTAACAATAGGTATGGTTTAGAAGGATAATTTAAACTGTATTAAACCTGCATACAGTTTATTCATATATTCATCTTCAGAATATCAGTGGCTGCAGTTCAGGTTAGTTTAATTCCTTTATATCCAACAGTCTCATTTCTTCTTCTCACCAAAACTATTGATTAATCCTGCCAATTAACCCAGCCTCCTCCACAGCTTTGGAGCAGATACAGGGTTAACAGAGCTGAAAATAGTGGCATTAACGCATGTTTTAGTAGATGTAAAAACTATACAAGAGTTTGAGAACCTGGCAAAAGTATTTTTTACTTCAAATGTGTGGACACCCCACCAGGTGTCACTCCAGCGACACTGCTTCAAGTAATGATGAGTGTGAAGAGGTATGACACTGGGACTAATCAAGCAGCAAGAGATACTCCAGCTCTCTATATTACGCAGCATCACGCATACATACATAGCATGTATTTTTAAAATATATAGCTATACATATGCACCTGCACACACATGTATTCTCTTAAGTGGCACTGCAAAAGTCAAAAGCCAGGCTTAAAGGATAAGCATTAGGAATAGCACAGCCAGAGATGAAAGCAATCTCCAGGGTAACTAGAGCAAGATAAGGATTAAAGTATCTGGAGGGGGAAGAGAGTGGTGGTGATTCATTGTTTTGTGTTTAAACACAAGCAGATAGGTAGAAATAGACTTCCATTTCAAGACACACATGCACAGCCACACTCACACTATTAAGAGCGGTAGACAGAATAGATGCTAGAAAATTCAAGGGAATCAAAGTTTGTTTACAAAAGTCATAATCTTAGAAAATATATAGTAGGAGCTGTTTTAACTAGAAATCTCAGTGAGTCAGCATTTTAGTTATACAAAAAGTTTGAAAAATGATGGGGCCTCTTTCTTCATAAAGTCTTTTTAGACTAACCCACAGCACAAGGCACAACAGTTCTGTAAATATCAAACTCTCACTGCTCTGGCAAAATGACTTAACAGTTTTATGTAATTCCTGATGAAGGTGCTTTTCAATGTGTGTCATTGCAGCAAGAAGGGAAAAACGATCAGAAAATGCACTGTGTAAGCGCAATTTTATATCTCACTAACGCTGACATTTGAATGACCTACGCTATCATTCAAGCTCCTTGTACAACCACTCCAGAATGCTCTTTAGGGCTCCATGAGGACACCTTATGCTGGCAAAGATGATGAAGTTTCCCCATTCTCTGAGGTCTAACTCCCCTCTTCTAACCATGGTTGGGATGATAGGAGAGCTGGTCGTGAAGCACCTCCTCACCCATAAAAAGCCTCAGAAGCAGAAAAAGCTGCGGTCTATAACACCATCTGCTGTGACAGCATGAGCAGCTCCAGCCTGGATGGATGGCCACGCTCTGATCCACAGCCTGTGCACCTCAACCTCTCCGAGAAACCTGACTGCAGTGCAAGTCAAAAGCTGCATTTCACATCTCTAGGTTTCAGAGAAATATCAGGTCAAAGCCTGATTAATTAATAAATTAATGGGACTTAAGCACCTAAATCCCCTGGATGTTTTGGGGAAAAAAAAATAAATCTCAATCTACGTTTAACACACAAACCAAAATGAACATTTTATTTTTATTGAGGAGGCAAAAATATTCAGCTGTTCAAATGACTCTTTAAATGGAGATAATTAGTTAGGCTCACCTGTCATCAGATAACAGTAGCAAAAAAGGAATATAAGCTTTTATAATGCTAGGTTGACTGTCTCATGTTGTATATAACAAAATTTTCATAGAAGAACCTGGAAGTTAACTGTTGTTTGTTACAACCAGGATACAGCCACTAGCCCGTTAAGACTAGAAGCCAAAGAAAGCACATCTTTACACAAGCCACTTCTCACGGGCAAAAGAGAACCAAAGCTGATCCCTAATTGTGCAAAGGGAAGACAGCAAAAAAACAACTACAACTGGGCAGGAGGAAGCAAGAGAGTAGCAACCTACTACTGAATGCAGGAGTTAAGGAAACAGTTAACTTTAAATCCCTTATCATTCAGCAACTGTGCTCACAGCCTAATACTGGGCAGCTGAAAGGCCTGCCATCAATGAGGTCAACATCAAAGAGTATTAACAGCTTTTTAAGTTAAGAGTTGTCAAGGATAAATGGCCATGAATAAATTTAAACAGGGCAGCAGAATATAACTAATCATCTGAGGACAAGAGCTCTGGAAGAGCCATAGAGGCAGGAACCTCACTAAGTCTAAAACAAAGACTGATGATGCAGCAGGATGCTTTGCGAGCACAATGTGAACAAGTACCTTTTTTATTGCTATGGCTCCTCTTCATTGCTTCCACACTGCCTTGTTCGTTCAAGTAACCTTTCCAAGGGTGAAGCTAAACCATCATCAAATCAAACTAGGAGCAATTCACACCCACTTGGTACTTGCTCTGTACAGTTGAAAATGGCTGAACAATCTGCAGGGTGACTGCCCTCGTTTTTCTACATGATTACAGAAAATGTACCTAACTGCTACACTGCAATTGACACAGGGGTTTTTTGGTTGGTTTTTGTTTTGCATCAAGCCAAGTAACACTGAAATATTTCTTTGCGGTACAGTTTCACTGCTCTTTACAAGGGATTAGCCCTACTGATTTCAAATCACTTGTGTTCCAAAAACCTGAAATAGCTTTGCACCCCTGGTATAAGGGCTTCTCTAAGCTTGAAAACTGACTCTGATTAAAGAAAACAAGGTGTGAATTTTAAACAGAACTGTAACTATTCTTGAATAAATCCAGGTGTAGATACTTCTATTATAGAGTATGACTAAATCCGCTTTGAGTGCATTAAGCATTTGTCTGCATGGGAAACTAGCCCAGAGGAACTATTACACACTGGTTCTTCATGAAGATGTGATTAGAGTTACCTCTTCTCTTATTCCTCATCTTTCAAATTCCTGCTTTTGTTCATTTCACGGTAATTTCCTTAAATGGACCAGCTTTTCTTAAAAGACTGGGAATAGCTAACTACACAGGAATCACTCTCCAATCAGCATGGTTAGACTACAATTCAGTACTGCAATGCAAAGCTCAAATTAATAGAGCTGTTTTAAGGGATTATTTTTTTTAACTCCAAGTATTAGCCAACATGGGATAGATAAAATTCAAAAACAGAATGGGAACCTCTAAAACTGAAAAGACAGAAAACGAAACTCACGTTTTAGAATAACTTCCTTCAGTGGAGAGAGCTCTGTGAAAATCAGGTTTTAATCGAGTCAGCATGCGCAAGCTACCAAAGATAAAATTAAATACTGGCACTTCATGAAATATGTCATCCTGTAAACCAAAAGTACTTTTTTTTTTAATTAGCATTTGATTTCTCTAAGTTTCTTTAGTCAAGAAGACAGCTGGTGGAGGTTGCAAACTTTTAAAGTTTAGTTTAGTTCACTATATCAAGCTCTGAGGATTTTTTATAGTTCTTCTTTCATTGGACCTTTTCCCACTAATACATGGGTGAAAAAGAGTCAGGATGTTCGACACTCGTAGAGCACTAGTGGATACACTTTACTTTCAAAAGGTACCAACAGGTCAGCTTCCAGAACTATCGGTTTCACATCCTGATCAATGGCTCTGGTATCTTTGTTAGTACAAGTCCCAAACTCAAGAATGTGCTATTTTAATTGTATCATTAAATGTACTACTGATAGAAATCAAAACATTGAACTGTGTACTCTGATGTAAATTGAAGCTTCTACTGGCAGGATTTAATTTCCAAAGCTAGAATAACCTTGAGTCACACTTTATTACTGTATCCACTGATGTGCCATATCTACACGGATCAATTAGAATCCTCCTAAAGTGAGTAATGCCTTGTTCCCATGAGTAAACAAAACTAAATGGTGTTAAAAAAAAAACAAACCTAATTCAGATCATCAGTATGATCGGGTCCTAACCGTCAGGGTGCAATGCAACTCTAAGTCAGTATTTTAGTACTGTCTTGAGGCCAATCACATAATTTAATGTAAAGAAGCCTACTGGATAACAGAATTTGGAAGCAGAGAGGGGCTTAGTGTAACTATTCTTCCACAAAGAACTATTTTCACAGCAGTGAGGAAAAAACCACCATCTAAATGCACAGGAGGTATCTTGTCTCAGCAGGGGTGATGCTGCCAAGAATTCTGAAAGCTTCATATCATTTTAATAATTTTCCTCAGAATCTAAACTTTTCTATTATGAAACAAGTTACTTTGTATTAGGTTGAGAAAGTGAATGCAGAGGAATGATTTCAGTTTCCTGCCAGATTTATTCTTACTGTCTAATTTATTTATTAAGCAATGATTTAAAAATAAATGTTTCAGAACTTGGTTTTCAGCAGATTTGTGAAAGTATATTCTAGCATGGATTCAGATAGGAAACTGCATTTCCTGCATGACAAACCACATCAAGCTCCCAGAGTGACAGACATATGGTTAATGGATTAATTATTCCTTCGCTTCCTTGGGTTTTAGACATCAAATTTGGAAGCTAATCGAGATACCAGAGTATCTCTTGGGGTCTCAATTTATCAAAGTCTATGAAGCCTGTGCTTAACTTGAAGCACACAAAAGAGTTCCATTCAAAATCATTAGGGCAATAAGCATGTTCCTTAACTTTCTGATACAAGGCCCTTTACTCTATGTTTTTCTTTATGCAGTTATCTGCAACAATTAGCATTACCTGGGACTAGCAAATAATAGGAATTCAAACTGGCACAATGACTTTTATTTTCATCTTACTAGCATCAACAGTTAAAATTGCCTACTATCAACCATGTAAACCAGATAAATCTGTGAGGAGAATTAGGGAAGGTGGGGAAATAGTTTGTTTGCTTAAATTTTAAAAAAAACAAAAGCTTTACTTCAGAAAGAAGCAGAAGCCCCTGCAGAAGGTACAGAAATGAAGCACTCACTCCACAAGCAAAGCAAAAAAGGCTTCATCAGAAAATTTGAACAGGCATCAAAGAGCAGAAAACAGAGAAGGCTGAAGACTTGCTGAACGAATATGCACAGTTGTAGTTACGTATAAAGATTAGCGCAAGGGCCTGAACTCAGTCATGCAAAAGAGGCAGTGTGCAAGGTGATGATCTAATTGGGTTCTTACCAGGGCTTCATTATCTTCTGCAATTTCTGATATCGTCTGCAAAATTAAAACTTGCACGTGAGGAGACACACTTTAAAACATCTGTACTCTTATTTACCTGTGCATTCATACGCCTCCCCCACACCCATACTTGGTTCATAAAATTTAAAGACAGACACACAATGAGAGGCAGTAAATTGCTAACAATTTGCTGTGAACAGAAACAGTTCAGTAACTGGTAAAGAACATTCAAAATTAATTTCAAATATTTGTTCAGAATACTTATGTTAACTTCTATTACAAAAAAAGACGACAGTTGATAGGGGAAATAGATCAGATCTCTCTAACACTTGTTTCTTTTGACCATTAAAGCATGTCTAGGCATCCTAAATTAGTTAAGTACTTCCATAAAAGAAGCCTTTGGTACAAAACAATAATGGTTTACACATTAAGCATTTTCTGTCTCTCTCGTTGCTCCATTGCTTGTAGAACGCCCTTATTTACTTCCAGTCTTCATCACTAATACAGACACCAGAGTTGTCAGCACAGTTGTAAGTTGTTGTGTACCTAGATCCAACACACACCAAAATTCTGACTTTCTGAAGTCAGGGACAAGATTTCTGTTGACTTCAAAGGGAGGCAAAGAATTTGCCCTGGCTTTTTAACCAGAGCTGCATTTACTCAACAACTCTAAACCATCTTGCACCAGCTCCATGACACACAAATACAGTGCAGCAGTCTTATTCCAACAGAATGCATAAGCTCACCCGTAGTTCTTTTGCCTTTAAAATTCACACCTCGATGGACATGCCCAGACCTAAGATGCTGAATCAACCAAGAAAGACAAGGACCTGCTTACGAATGTCACTTATTGGTTCAGATTTTAAGAGGCCAAGCTACACACCCAACCTTCAGTGTGATCCTTCCCAACACTTGGTTCCTAGTTGCAGCGAGAGTTTTAACATACCCCATAATTTTTTTTTATTTAGGCATTTCCTATTTTTCCTCCAAGATATACACCGTTGTGTCTCATCGGTGAACCAGAAGGTATGGCATTATATTACTATATTCAGGAAACTGGAAGCCAAATATTAAGGGGGAAGAAGAGGGGAGGCAAATAATAAGTGCATTTGAAAGCTGTAGCCCACTAATCACCATTTGCACGTCATCCTCTTGCTAATAACTGGCTTCAGAACTGCTGATTATGCTACTAGGCAAGCTGAAGAAAGAGACTATACACGGCAAAAATGGCATCCAAGATAAATAACTTATTTTTAAAACAACACTTAAACAAACCAAACCAAAACAAAAAGTATCCATCTCCTGCTTAACCCCTTCTTGTGTCTCCTAAATCTGTTTCACAGTTTTCATATAGAGGGTTGGCTGCAGCTCCACACTGGCCAGATTACTGCTCAAAAGGAGAACAAAGAGGTCACTCCTTCCTTCCTGTCCCCTTCTCCCCAGGTCTTTCCCTTTGCACTCGCTGCCATTCAGCCCACAACAGCTCTAGGGCTCCAAGCTCTCCAACCGCTGATTCAACTCTCTCCCAGAATTTGGCTACATTTGATCGTGGTTTTTATCCCCTTTGGTACAGCATTAACTCCTTCCACCTTGCATTTTTCATTCTGTTTATGCCTAAGTCATGTTGTGCTTTCTACGGAGACCGCATGAGTCTTATGTATAGATGCTTTTCAAGAGCGACCAGTATCAGGGAAGGCAGCTTTTGGGCTGGCTAGTGTAACCATCAGGGGAGAAAACACAGAATGTACATCACAGGAACAGTGGTTTGAAAGCCTTCACTGCTAGCTGCAAGCTGCAATACTCATGTCCAAAAGATAATGATGGCACAGTTTACCAAGCACATATTGGGCTACAGCCCAGCTCAAATTAGAACAGTGACAAGATTTTGTTCTTCGATTTCATGGCTTTGGTTCTTTTATGTCACAGCAGCTATCAGTGTAGCCAGTTGTAATAAGCAAACAAAAAGCATCCTGATGATCAGGATATGCCTGTCAGCCTTAAAAAGGGGAGAAAATTGCCTTCAACATGCTTTTAGGAGCAGAAAAGTTCAAAGCACTTCCCACAGTAGGAGATCCACACGTCAGCAGAATGTCACTCCTGTGCTCCTGCAGTGTGCTTCCTTGCTGCGGCAGGCTGCTAAACCCTAACAAGAACAACCACCACCACAAACAGGTTTTCTCATCTCTCAAATGCACATGGATCCAAGCAACCTTACGCAGGACATGCCAGCAAAATTTCATAGCATCCTTCTGAGCCCAGTTTTTAAAGCAGCTGTTTTTCATCCAGGTGCTGGCTTTGGCTAAGCAGCAAGTAAACTTAAAACTGGTGCTGCGTCTGTCTGACATTAAAGAGAAAGAAGTGCGGTGTTTGCAAACTGGTAGCACTTCAAAAGGGCAGGCTCAGTTTTGCCAGAGATTTTTTCACAACAGGCTATAATCAGGTGCATTTTCTCCATGATTGAGCCCAGGAATTAAAGAACAAACATCTGAGCCCTAAAGCGAAACATTTAGAAAGCAACTCTCTTAGCATTTACACAACTCTTACCCATCTTGAGTTAGCTGGCAGTTAACTTGCGGTCAGAAAATGTGCAATGTAAAAAATGTAATGTAAAAGAAAATACAAATTTAGAGTAACATGGAGAAATAATTGAAACATATAGGACTTTTCCAGTGAAGCAACAGGAAGACAGCAAATTTTGACTTGAAAGACAACATTAGACCAAACAATTTCTACTACTCTTTGTTGCTTTTGAAAGTGTAATAAGAGCAGGAATCAATCAAGGGCATCAAATGTTGCAGCAACATGGTACAGGATGATTACAGATAGACTTTTACCACTGAACAGGTGGAGGCTGTTATCTAAAGTAGTGCATGTTATTTTGATCCCATCATGGAACAAAAGACCTAACAGAGAAGGACCTGGCATGAACAAGAGTTCCTTTCATGTTCACCATGATGAAGTTATCACTGAAGGAGCAGTCAAGCCGACTCTTCCAGCAGGTCAGCCTGGAAAGGAACAAGTAGAGTCTGCCACCTCCATCAGCTTTCCTCTTTCTATATATACACACAACTGCTGTTTCTTCTGGAGGTTTGACTTTGTGGTAGCAACCAGACAGTTCTCTAAAACGCTTCCTTGGCGAGTTACCACAAGTATTGTCGAAAATGCTGAAAGCCTTACTGATGTAGGCAGTGAAGTTAGCTCAATAGTTATATTTATCTTTAGAAAAAAAAAATTGTACTTGCACAGATGGGAACAAAACCATGGCCAAAATACAAACATTATAAGGGTAAATTAAATAGCGTTTTTGAAAGGTTCAGATACTACAGTGGCGAAAGACAAAAACAGGCAGCAATTTTTATACAGGGAGAAATCTCATAACAAAGGCCAACACAACGCAAAATAAACACTAACGACAAGTTAACGGTTTAGACATTTTGCTACCATAATATGTTCCCTCTTTGGCCTCAGAGGAACTTTGTGATACATTTCCAGCTGAATTCTAAGGAGCAGCAGCTCCCTTAGGACTTCCCCAAGCCATACAGACTTAATACTTGCTCAAATACTGCAGGTTACATCACGAGCAGCTTCCAGCGGAGACCAGGTTAGGAAGGACCCAACCAGATCAACTCCTACCTGTTCATGTGCAAAAACCACTGCACAAGGACCAAAGACACCCCAAATACAAACCCCAGCTGGGGTAACACACAGTGCACTGTAAGGGCTTGGCTGCACTGGGGGGAACAACTAAAATATCATCGCATTACGGACCCACTGGACTTAGTGATGCCAAGAACTGAAGCAGTCACACCACATCGTCATAACCAATGTTTCTGCGCCCGCACTCATTAAAGACGTGCAGAGAAGGATAAAAATATCACGGAAGATAAAAGCTTTTCATGCAGGAAGGCCCTGGAAAGGGCCATTGGCAAAGGTGGAAGATGTTCACAAAATCTTCCTCCTCCACAGAAAAACCAACGGAATGATGGATGAATTACTTTAAATTGAAATTTGGCCACTGCTTTTCGAGAAAACACAAGGATAGCTCACATTCTGGATAACAGGCAGTGTTTAAAAATATGACAAGACAGATACACAGGAGTACGTATTTCCAGCTTTTGTCTGTATCAGGTGCGGCTATGACATATAAATGAAGACTGGGAAACACTCTGGCTGGAAGGTATCAATAAATTATTGGGATGAAATTTGCAAAATTACTATTAAGTTATGCAGCAGCACTCCCACCCCTCACAGCCACTACAACAACCCACAGCCACGATGGTCCAAGAGACAAAAACATCCTGGAAAGCTACTGAAATGGGAGATGCTAAGCTCTTCTTATTTCTGCTGGTTCCTCAAATATTACATTATTGTATGGAGGAAAAAAAAAAAGAAAAAAAAGAAAAAAGTTTTGTCCAGCTTGGTACTCTGAAGAACATTTAGAAATATATATCTGTTGGAATTACTCTTTTTATTACATTTTACAAAAGTGGCTGCCAAACAAATCCCAGTAAAACTCACTCCTCTCGACTTCCCTGTTCCTGTCAACAAAGTGTTGATATCACCATTTAGCAGGGGTCATTTAAATGCTAATATTCTTAAGCACAGGCAAAGTAAGGAAAACAACCCTAGAAAAAAGGCATTTAGGATGAGGGGAGTACAAGGAGCAGCAACTCTCTCCCTTCTCTCCAAAGATGTGACCTTTGATAGGGCTCATCTGAAAATTGAACTATCTAAAAAATAGCGTGTGCCATTTTTTAAATTATTTATTTATATTTTATCTAAAAAAAGAGCATGTGCTATGTATATGGCATTGATCACGATATAGAAAAAAATGTGCTCGCGCGTGCATGGAGAGAAGGTGGAATCCAAGCTTGAAGGCTGATGGGGAAATAAACCCAAATGAGAGCAAGCAAGGAGAAAAATAAGCCAACCACAAAAAAATCCACCCACAAAGAAAACCTACCCTACTTTCCTCCTTTATGAGAATGGCACAGAAACATTGGGCTGCAGCCCTTTGCTTATCCGCTTGCCATTAA